AAGAACCGGGAAAGGTGCTTGTTGCATTTTTATTCAACTGGGTTGACCAACCCTATCTTCATTTAATGATTTCTGACCTTTTGTTTAATTTACCAATGAACTACATTTGCTTCTCATTTGGGGGAAAAACTGCCTGTCGTAAACTCGTGGCAGGAACATCATTTCTCCTCATCTTCAAAGATGCTACTGGGAAGCTTAGTAACTGATTAGACAGGAAATACTGCACAGCCTAAGGCCTATTGCATAAGGACCAGTTCATTTATTAAAGAAAAGAAAATGTTGCTTATTTTTAGTATGAATCATTACAAAATGCCAACCAACTCCTTATGAATTTGAGGAGAGCAATCTTCCTGATTAGTTATTTCTTTCACCTTTTCTAAGACCTTGTCTGAAATGATATTTAAAGCACTCTTCAGCTTTCTTTAGGCCAGCTGATTGCACAAGTCAAACAACGGCCATGAGTGTGCTGAACTGTTGGATTACTACTATTATAGGAATGGACACATGCCAAGTGTTACTTTAGACCTGAGTTTCCAAAGTGTGATCCTAGCTTAAAAGGGAATTTTTAAAAAGAAAGAAAACAGGAAACTGTATTGTACTGGGAGGAAGCCGAAGGAGAGATGAAAAAACCATTTGGATTTTGGGGGTGGGGTAAGTGGGGGGTAGTTGTCTATAACTTCCATTAAGCGCTTTTTTTCTCTTCTCTTTTTAAAGTAAGCGGCAGGCTTTGGGTTGGCAAACCCCAGGGAGATGCAGACACCTGAGGCTGCTACCGTTTTATCTGCCTTCACGGTACTGTCCTCTTCCCCCAGCTCCTCCCTGACTCCGTGGACCAAGCCTCAGACTTTCCAGCTAACTGCTTCCCATGAGCCACTACTCTGATAGCAGCCTATAACCAAAGGAGCTGCGTGGTCCAGGCTTGGTGACCAACCCTTCTCAGCCCACTCAGTCAGGGTGCTCCCCAACTGCAGGCAGGAGGCAACACCCTGTCTGCTACCATCCTCCCCTTCCAGAGCCTACCTGCCTGCCCAGCCCTGCCCTGCCCAGCCGAGCCATACTTTGCTTTGTCCCATCTGGGGGTGCCCTGCTCAGGGATGCGCTGGCAGGGCTGCACTCAGCTTCTCTGGTAAGCAGAGACTCAAGAAACCTCTGGGGTCTTGTTTTCTGGTTGTGTGATCCCAGCGGTGCACATGTTCCCCTTGGGTGTCAGAACAGAAGGGCCCGGGAGGGAGGGCCACACCCCGGCAGTCTTGCTCTGCTGGTGTACTGGGCAGCTGCCTACCCCCACCCCACCCTGCACTGTGGGCTCCGGAATCAGCAGGTTAAGCATTTTATAAATTGTATTTTAGATACATGTTTCAAACTTGTAAGTTTTTTCAAAAGAACAAGCTTGACAAGTGTGTGAAGAATGCATTATGCTTTATGGGTTTGAGGGGGAAGAATTTTTTTTTTAAAGCGTCTGATTCAGACCACATGTAACTCAGATGTTTAAATAATCAAATCACCTGTTTAATCTCATGAAGAATAGAAGGTTACTATTGTTGAAGATTTTCCCCAACTTTTTGATTCTCCCTTTGGAGTTAAACATATGAACATAAGAATCATTTTTCTACCACTGATGATTGAAATTTGGTTTAGGAATTATTAAAACCAAATTGTGCCGGCCGGGTGCAGTGGCTCATGCCTGTAATCCCAGCACTTTGGGAGGCCGAGGCGGGCGGATCACGAGGTCAGGAGATCGAGACCATCCTGGCTAACATGGTGAAACCCGTCTCTACTAAAAATACAAAAAAATAAGTACAAAAAATTAGCCGGGCGAGGTGGCGGGTGCCTGTAGTCCCAGCTACTCGGGAGGCTGAGGCAGGAGAATGGCGTGAACCCGGGAGGCGGAGACTGCAGTGAGCGGAGATTGCGCCACTGCACTCCAGCCTGAGCGACAGAGCCAGACTCCGTCTAAAAAACAAACCAACAACAACAACAACAAAAACTAAATTGTGCCAAAACAAAAGTACTGCTTTCAAGCTCTTATAAAGAAAAATATATCAATAGTCTTTAAAAATTATACAGGCTTCAAAAAACCAGTTTTTCATTCCATTAGACTTGTTATCAGTCTACAAGAAAGATGGCCATTCATTTTTTAAATTCAATAATGAACAGTCCATTGGATTTGCTACCCTTTGAGTGCCACAAGGATCATGCTCTCTTTAGGAAGCAGAAACAAAACGATCAAGACTTGAAAGGATATATATCTTCTCTACGTTCTCTGAACATGGGAATGGCCCATTAACGTTTCCTATCCTACACTCTCAGTCTGCAAATATATTTAACATTTTCCTTTCTTAATAGTACAAGGTAACATAAGTGTGTTCTAGAGTCCGCCTCCTGGCATTCCTAAGCATTAGGAGGCTTATGGCTGAAGTCGGCTGGCCAACATGATTCCCATGAGAGAGCACCTCTCCCCATTAGGGAGAAGACAAGAAATGGCCTCTCTTTATTCGCACTAGAGTTTTTCAGAGCTCTGATGATGGCTGAAGTCTTTGAAGTAGATGTGCTAAGTAAGTGAGAATCCAGTTCTATCCTCCTCTGGCACCTATGACATTGTCTTTAGTGCCACAAGGAGTGAGGTCAAATTTGCAGTTTAGCTGGAACTTTAAATGTTATAGAAAAATTTAATTATGCAACTTGTGCAAATGGATGGTTAAGACCAGGATTCATGCCTTGTACATTATGACCTTGTAGATTCATAGAATAGTAATGAATCTTAAAATATCATAAAATAGGGTTGATTTAATTCCAAGGCCACATAACCCTACTAGGATAGACAGTGTCTAATACATGGGTGCACACTGAATGTTCAGTGGTGAAAATGACATTTTCATGGAATGCCTTAGAATGGAGAATTGGATTTTATTATTTTAGTCATATATACCATTGACTGGAAAACACACCAAATGTTTTACTGCTAAAGTATGGGAGCCTCGATGTTTAAAATGGAAGTTGCTTGGCACAGTGACTCACATCTGTAATCCCAGCTACTCCAGAGGCTGAGGTGGGAGGATCACTTGAGCCCAAGAGTTTGAGACCAACCTGAGTAACCTAGCAAGACCCTGTCTCTAAAATAATAAAAAAAGGAAGTCAACATAATTGCATGCTGATCAAATCCCCTCAAGTGGCTCCACATAGAGCACAGGCATTGACCAGCAATTGCTGCCAGGCAAACTTGCACTATATTTCCTGCCTCCTATACTTAACATTTTGTATCATAAAACCGGTCTCTCCTACTAGGCACTCTCGGTTTCATGAAACTGTAGCTGTATAAGAATCTATGAAAGTCCTTCACTCAGCTGCTTTGGTCGGCTGGTCAACTCTTCTTTTGGGTTAACGCAAGGGCCCTTCTTTACCACACCAAATCCTATTTTAGTGGGCGCTCTGAGTAAACTTTTCAAGATGCAAATAAAGCCAAACCATTTGAGTTATTATTTAAATTTTCAGTGGCTTCTCTCCATCCACAGACTTAAATCCAAACTCTGACCTTGAAAAATCACTCCTCCATCTTCGTTCTAACCTTATCTGCGGTCACTGACTCCACACTCTCTCAGCCATCCGTGTGTGTGCGTGTGCTGTTCCTTTACCTGGAATTGCCCCATCTGGCAAACTCCTATGTAGCTCTCAAGAGTCACCTTCCACTTCATCTTCTCAATGACGCTTTCCCTGAGTTGTCTTCCTGAGTAGTTAACTTTGTTCACACCTTTGTTCATAATGACAACGTTGTGTCAATGTCCAGCCTCCCCCACACTCCCTCTGGACTGAACTCCTTGAATGTGGGGCCCGTGGATGGCCTCTTCATCTTTGTGGTCATCCCACATAGTACAAGGCTTGGTACATGGTGGCCACTTCAGCAAGATTTGACAGATGAATGAAAGCATGACCATATGAGTGCCTCCCCAGGTGTCTCATTTGATAATGGGGAGAACTTGACTCTCAGTAAAGCCAGGCTAGGACCTGTTCTTTCCTTCCAACTCCAAGGGATCTTGACTCAATGCTTATAATTATGCCTTGCAACTCTCCCCTCCCCCAACTCCCAGTCAAACCCGATAAAATGTTATCATTTTTGTGTTGTTTTGTGCATACATTGGTATGTGCTGGTTTGGTTCTCAGAGCCAACTAATCTGGGAGTAGCAGGAACACGCACATTATAAAATTTTACTCATTGGAGAGCTTTATGATTTTTAATATTTACATGGAGGCCAAAATAAAATATGTAAGTCATAAATATGTTTTCTTAAGGTTTTGAAGTCCAGTTTGAAGTTTAGGGTATTTTTTTCTAACATTGATTGTTACGCTCCAAGAAAGGCTTATCTTATTGAATTGAATGGCATGGTTTGCAAATACTAACTTTAAAGAAAAGCCACAATGTGCAGAACCGCATATTGTCTTAAAATCACTGTATTATGTACATTAAAACATGTAGCTTTCCTTTCCAGGGTGATTGCTTTGTTTGGTCAAATTGAAAGTCAGGTTTTCTATTTTGGCATTATGCCTTATTTCCCTAGACTAAATGAAATTGTTCCATTATAGCAAATAGACGCTTAGTAATGGTTTGATTCAAGTCTAATTGGAATGCTCTTCTCAGAATATTTCACCATTCCGATCTTATTCCTCGATATTATATTTTCAAATAGAGACTGTGAGCTAGAATTGGGTTACAAGCCTTTAAGACTTGAGCAGCTGAAATCTCAGGAGAGTTTCAAACCAAGGGCCAGTTTGAAGTATAAATGGTACTGCTTTCCTGCTGTCAGCAGGCGAGATTTAGCTCATTGCCGGTCCCCACAGAAATGAAACACTGAGAGAAATGTCTCCCCTGGGGTTTGGCCTCAACTCCTTTTGAGTGGGATGTGTAGTTTGGAGATTGATAAGCAAGTAACACTTAACATTGCTTCCTTCTTGTTTTTAAAATGGATTGCAACAAGAAGTCAACATCTCTTCTTTTTTTCTTTAAGGCTTCCTCACAGCAATGAGGCAAGAAGTGACCCGTGCCCACAAAGGCTGGGCACTGGACTCTGTGACCATCCACAATGAAGTTCTGAGACAGACCAAGGAGGAGATCACGTCACCCCCTGGAGTAGGCATCTCTGGGCAATAGCAGGGACCGTTCTGGAGACAGAGCTGAAATTTCAAGTTCTGCTTAAAACTGAGCTATGAGTGCCTTGGTTAGGTCCATTTGCTTTGCAGCAAGAGTTCCCTCTGTCATAACCAGAAGACCTCCCCTATCTGCCGGAGTGGAAGGTTAATGAATGACAAGGTCTAATGAGCTCTTAGAACTCTGCAGACTACATTTCTACAAAATTAGAAGTTATACTTGTGTTTGCTAAAAAGACTTTTTGGCTAGGTGCAGTGGCTCATGCCTATAATCCTAGCACCTTGGGAGGCTGAGGCAGGAGGATAGCTTCAGTCCAGGAGTTCAAGACCAGCCTAGGCAACACATGGAGACCCTGTCTCTACCAAAAACAAACAAACAAACAAAAAATAGCCAGTCGTGGTGGCACACATCTGTAGTCCCAGCTACTTGGGAGGCTGAGGTGGGAGGATTGCTTGAGCCCCGGAGGTCGAGGCTGCAGTAAGCAGTGATCACACCACCAGACTCCAGCCTGGGTGACAGAGTGAGACCCTGTCTCAATAAATAAATAAATAAGGCTTTTCTACACATCTCCAGCTACTGCTATGGGCCACTCACAGATTCTACTATACGCAGCAGAGATGAAGAGGACTAGCAGGCTGGAGCCGGGGGCCAGTTCCAGGGTGTCCCCTTCGAGCTTCGAGTGGAAAGGAACATGGCTGGGGGAAGAGCCCCCACTGCCTGGACGCTGATCTGCTCAATGAATGTGGGCAAATTCTTTAACTTTTTTGAGTCTTCACATCTTTATCTGCAAAATGAGCGTGATAATTCAACCTTATTAAAGGTAGCTGTGGCCAGGCACGGTGGCTCACGCTTATAATCCCAGCACTTTGGGAGGCAGAGGCAGGAGAATCACTTGAGGTCAGGAGTTCGAGATCAGCCTGGCCAACATGGTGAAACCCGTCTCTACTAAAAATACAAAACTTAGCCTGGGGTGGTGTTGGGCACCTGTAATCCCAGCTACTTGGGAGGCTGAGGTGGGAGGATCGCTTGAATACAGGAGGCAGAGGTTACAGTGAACCAATATCCCGCCACTGCACTCCAGCCTGGGTGACAGGGCGAGACTCCATCTCAAATAAATAAATAGATAAATAAATTTTTTAAAAAGGTAGTTGTGAAGATTTAAATGTGATCATTTAGGTGCAGTGCTGGACCCCACGTAGAATCTCAATAAATCAGTCTCCCTTTCCCTTTCTCTGATTTTCATTCCCTCATTTGTCCAGTAAGGGGGCTGGACCAGATGATTTCCAAGTTCTAGCCAAGTTCCCTGCCACCTTATAACGAGGGCCGCCTTTCCTTCAGTTTCCAGTATTATCTTCCTCATTCCTGTCTGAGGCCTCACTAGAAGCACCTTAACCTCCAGGTTCCCACCAACAATCTCTTCTAGGCAGTTTCAAAATTCCTCCAGCCTCTCCCCATGATGCAATTCCAGAATTCCTTCCACATCTGTAGGCATTTGTTACCGCAGCATCCTGCTTCCTGGAATCAAAATCTGTGTTCCTTTCCAAAGGCTGTCATAACAAAGTATCATTACAGTGGGTGGCTAAAAACAACAGAGATCTATTCTCTCACTGCTTAGAAGGCCAGAAGTCAAATCAGGGTAGGGTTGGTTTCTACTGGAGGCCCCGAGGGAAAGTCTTGTTCTCAGCCTCTCTCTTAGTCTCTGGTGGTTACTGAGGATCTTTGGCTTTCCTTCATCATTACAATCTCCGCCTCTTTTCTCACATTCATCTGCATAGGTATGTATATCTCTGTGTCCTCTCCTCTTATAAAGTTACCAGTCACATTGGATTTAGAACCTACCTTAATTCAGTGTGTCCTTATCTAAACAATGTGTGCAAAGTCCCTATTTCCAAATAATTACATTCCAAGGTTCTGGGTGAACATGAGGTTTTGGGTGACACTATTCTATCTACCACACCTTCTCACTGACTTTTTAAAGTTCTGAGGCTGAAAGCACCCTGGAGAGGGATACAATTTACCATATGATGGCTTTTAAGTGGTCCCATTATTCATGTAGTTCATTGTCACCCACGGAGTTAATGATGGTAACCGTATGTCCTGATTTTCTGGGACTGCCCATGGTTTTACTGTCAAACCATGTGCCTTCGTTTTTGGTTCAAAAAATATGGTCCTCACACGGTGAGTCCACGCGGGGGGGGGGGTTCCAGAAAACACTCTGCAACGAATCTTACTGTCTTTTATTCTAATCGGCATTTACTTCCCCTGATCTGATCCTCACTGGAGATGGAAAAATGGTCACCATCCTCTACATTTATCTCTTTGGTGAGCTGGCATGATTGTTGGAGCCTCCCCTGTGATTCTCCTTCACCCTTTCTTTTTTTAGTGAATACATGTTCTGTGGCTCCCCACTGCCTACAGGATCCAGTTTAAATTCTTCAACTTAGCACCCAGATCCTTCCACGGTCAAGCCCTAACTTCTTTTACAACCATTGAGCCCTCTGGTAAAGGAAATACTGGGGCTCTTCCAGCCCGCCCTGCCTTTGTTTGTAGTGTTACTCCTGCCTGTGTTGCCTGTGCTCTCGCCTTTGTCTTTCCAAACACAGCCCCCTGCTGCAAGGCCATCAAGGCCTATCAAGGCCGTTCCCTCTACAGAGGCCCCTGAGCACTCCGGCCACAGGGACCTTGCCTCAGAAGTCACTGCCGTCACCCCCAGAGCAGTTCTCCGGGCACTCCCAGTAACAAGTGTGGGCTGCTATTCAACTCATCTTAAAAAAAATTTTCTGCACCTATGCATCTTATCTCCCTGATTTAATGATGAGGACCTCCAGGGCAGGGCCTGTTGTATGGGAGAGACACTGGGGAGGGTGGCCAGACGCTGCCCCTGCCGTGCTTCCCCTGGCTCTACCATGCCTGACCTCTGGGGGTGCTCTGACTCTCCCACTAGCTGGGCCTGGCTGTGGAAACCTCACTTCATCCTGTGGCTGAGATGAAGTTGAGACACAGGTTGGCTTGGCCAGTGGCAGGCTGAGATCCTATATGACAGCAGCTCCAGATCCTGTTCCATGCTCCCGCCTTCCACCAACTCAAACCAGACCTCTCAGAGACTTTCACCTCCCTGTAGAGGTGATCTGGTGCTACCGGCTTAACCTGTTGCTCAGGGAGGCCACCCCCACACTTAAATAACTAATAACAAACACGAACATTTCTACAGCACTCATAGCCTCAACAGAGGCTGCAGGAGAAAACTGGGCTTAGTATTTCATGAATGCAATGTGCCCGGTGGTGCCTTCCTCCCTCTGGTAGTGTTTTAAGACTGGTGTGTGTTTTATTTCCAAACTGACAGCCTTTATGACACTAATTTTGCAGCACCTAGTTTAAAAAATAAATCCTATTACCTTATGCTTGACTCTTCCAGGAAGGTGTGTATATTTATGGGCTGTACATCGATGGAGCAGCCTGGGACAGACGGAATGGGAAGCTCACGGAATCCACCCCCAAGGTACTCTTCGCGCAGTTACCCGTGCTCCACATCTTTGCCATTAACTCCACGGCACCCAAGGACCCCAAGCTGTATGTGTGTCCTGTTTACAAGAAACCCAGGCGAACTGATTTGACCTTCATCACTGTGGTATATTTGCGAACAGTGTTGTCCCCGGATCACTGGATCCTGAGAGGAGTGGCCCTTTTGTGTGACATCAAGTAAGTTCATTTCCATCTGCTGAGGGCACCAGAAGCCACATAGGCAGCCTGTGCTATTGAGGGACTCAGTGATGTGCGTGTCTTTTCTCCCCAATAATTACTTAATTACTCTTCCTAAATTAAAAAGTTGATGTTTTCAAATTGCTGGTGTGTGTGTGTGTTTTCCTCACATATCAATATTCAAAAAGATCACTCTAAACGAATGTTTTTTATTCTGGGAAATCATATTTCATTTTAATTACTTTTCAAAGATAAAACCCTGTCTGGATGTTAGAACACTTTGGAAGCTCTGCATTTTAAAAATTTTGAAAGTGTTGATATATCCTAAAAAGAGCCTAGTAGTTGAAAACTTTTCCCTCAAGTAGGTACCAGTTTCCCTTGAATAAAATCTAGCCATGTCTGTGTTTGTGCTAACGTGTTATCTTTTGTTCTTTTGAGTTTGGTATTCTCTCTCTGCTTCCGAAATGGAAACTGAAGAGATCCAGCCAGTACTCCTTAGTAGTACAGCTGTTCAGTATGAAGTGTTTAAGACAGAAAATCCACTGGGATGGCCATTCTTGTGATGTATTTTAATTTTATTTTATGTTGTTTTATTTTAATTTTTACTGCTTTTGAGGCCCAGAGAACTTAGACTCTCCAGCTCTCCCTCCCAACTCCAATTCTGCAGGAGATAATGAAACACATTTCTAGGCAGCAAATGGAGAAGGGAAAAACAAACCCTATCAAATGAAATTAGGTTACATGCTGAATGTCTTAAAAAGCAAAGTCTTTAAAAAGTGAAGCTATTTCTTATTCCGTAGCTAGTCTAAAACTCAGTTTGAACCTTGATTTCCTGCTAAAGGAAATTGTCAATTTAACAAAACAGATGGGGTCCTATACTGAATGCTCATGCGGCTTCAGGACAGTGAAGAAGTGTCTCTACCAGTCTTCTCATCTAGAATCCTTGTGCCTGTCCGCAGCTAAACGCACGAACTTCATTCCTTCTGTCTATTCTGAAGGAGGGAATGTTTCAAGTTGCCTTGTTTCCCTCTCATCCTTCTGCCACCTTGATCAGAGATGCTGTTGACAAACAAAGCCAGGCAACCAAGCAATAGCCCAGGTAAGCTTTACAGAAAATACCCCAGAGAAAACTCTGCCACAGTCTAGTGTACTTTCAAACAGTAGAAAACACATTATGAAATGCAAATTGAAGCAGTGGCCTCTGGTATTTTCCTGATATTGATTCAATGTCAAAACCATAGAACTGTAAAAAAAGTAAATGCAGTTTTAAAAATAAAGTAGCCAAGCCCCTGGCCCCAGTGTTTCAGCACTTTCCTTGACCAATACATACACTAAAGTAAGGATGGCATTCTCGAGAAAGAATGTCCTCCTGAACTGAGGCTAGAATTTGGAAGCACCTTTCAGTCTGGGTAGAAAGTTAAGCACCATGACATTATAGCAAACCAAGCTGCATGTTCCTAAATCAGACACACATGTTTTATTGATAGCCCTGTCCTGCTGCTAAAACAACTGAAGGCAGATGCATAGTCAAAATGCCTGAATATCATGATAGGTTTTCCAAGAATAACAGTTATGTTCAGTGTTCTCTAGTGACTTGAAAGCTCATGGAAAACTGGGAAAAGAGGTGAAGAAGATGTAAATCTGGCAAAGATCATTGATCAGACCAGTTAAAGTCACACATGTGCTATTTCCTGGGAACTCTCTGCTGTTGCTGGTTACTTTGCACTATGTCAACATAGAAGAGAGAGATGAGCATTAAGGTCCAGCAAGGATGGGCACCAGGCACCCGGGCAGAGCCTCAAAATGGTCTTCTTTCTGGTCAATGTTTCTCAGCTATCCCTAGTTCTGCCAGGGTCTAGTTCTGCTTTCTTTCTCTAGGCCCAGTAAATGGTTTCCTTGGACATTTTAATTGACATTAATTGAAATTCCATAAGCACATAACCATTTTCTCTGCAAAATTGTTGTTCTTTCACTAATTACATAATTTGCCCCACTTGAGTCAGGGAGACCTGGTGCGCATAAAAGAGCAAAGGATAGAGGACGAAATGATTAAGCCAATGAAGCTGGGAGAGAAGCAAAGTAATTGTTCTTCTTCCTTGGAATCAGTCCACATCTTCTCATTTTGCTCTTGGCAAAATGAGCAATGAGATTTATACCTTCCTTGATTCAAAATGTTCCTTTACTTTGGACTTTGCATAAAAATAAGACCAAAAGAAACGTGTAGAGAGATACATCTTCCTAAAGGGATTGGTTTTGTGGATGATGTTGCATGAACGAGCCACCATCTCTGCCACCAGAGACCTCAGATGAATAGGGGACTCACCGTAATTGGAGGCACAAGGTGACTCAGGGCCATGGGTGAAGTTCGAAGGAATGGTGAAGGAAACTCAGGGTTGAGGATGAACTTGAAGACAAGGTAGCATTTCAATTGGGTCTTCAACTTTTCATAGATATTACCAACACAGTAGATGGGTATGTTCAAAGGAAGGGAGCAGCATGAGGGAGAGAATAGTCTAAAGGTGGGAAACCTCATGGAACGTCCAGAGACAGAAGATGGAGCCTTCGATGAGTTTCCATTGCCTGGAATGTACTCTCTAAATACCCAAGCCCTCTAGGAGCTGGCCTCAAACAAAATTTCTGCTTTATCACCCATCCCATCTCTCAACCTGCTCGATTGCTTCTGCTACTCTGACTCTCTGATGTTCTTGATGTTCTCTGAAACATTTTCACCATCCTTTGATCACCTTATCAAAGAAAACCCTCTTGTGTGGAACAACTGGAAGTTTCATACATGGCTGTGGAGGCACTGTCAAATGATACAACCATTTTGGAAAACAATGGTTGGATAGTTTCTTAAGAGTAAAACATATGGTTACCATATGACCCAGACATTTCACTCTCAGGTATTACCCTAGAGAAATGAAAGTGTATGTCCATACAAAGACATACATACATTCCAGTGCTCATAGAAGCTTTATTGGAATAATCAACAATTGGAAACAATACAAATGCCCATCAACAGATAAATGAATGAAAAAAATATGGTGTATACCTGCAATTGAATACTGCTCTGCAAGAAAAAGGAACAAACTATTGATGATGCACACTAAAGCTGGATGAATCTCAATTATGCTGAGTGAAAGAAGTCAGACCAGAAAAGGAGTACACAATGTATAATTTTGTTTATGTAAAATTCTAGAAAATGCAAATTAACCAACAGTGACAGAAAGCAGATTAGAGCTTGACTGGGAAGGAAGGGAGCAGGAGAAAGAGGTTACAAAGGGGCAGAAGAAAATGTTGGAAGGTGAGGGACAGATATGTTCATTTTCTTGATAGTGGTCATAGTTTCATGAGTGTCAAAACTTATCAACTTGTACACTTTAAATGTATGCAGTTTATTGTACTTCAATTGTACATCAATGAAGCTGTAAAGGAAAGCTCGTCCCATAGCACCTGATCCTTTCTTCACCTTCCTTGAGGATTTCCACGACCCCTCGCTCCTCTCCCAGGCAAGATGCATTGTGCTTTCTGCATTTTGGTTGCAACTGTGTTTAGTAATCTGGGTTGCAATCCTAGAATTTTAATGCAAGGAGTTAATTACGTGCGTCTACCTCCCCATTCTATCGTGAACTTTTGGAAAGCAGAATCTGACTTTTGAGCACCCTAGGAAGTGTTGACCAAATGACAGAATGAATGGACAGCAAGTAACCCCAATTTGACTGGTAAATGTAGGCAAATGATGGAGAAGGAGGGAACACCAGGTGCGAGCCATGTTGGGAGGGTCTAGAGTGCCACGAAGGACAGTAGGGAGTCACTGGTGGTTCTGGACTGCTAAAGGAATGGAAGTGAGTAGGTCAGCAAGAGGGCTTCTAGACCAAAATCGAGAAAATGAGTATTGGAACTACAGAGATGACAATTAGAATGGAAGCAAAGTAAGGCATTTGAAAGATGGTATGGAGGTAAAATTTGAGGACTCAGAAACTGAGCTGAGATGAAGAATAGTCAGAAAGGGTCTAAAGATAAGGCAGTTTACAGACTGGGGAGTCTAGCTGGATGTTTCCTGTATCATTAAAATTTGGGGAAAAGAGCTATTTTGCTAGCCCTGTGCTTATAAATAGCTGCCAGGGTCTCTGAAGAGAGACTTAAATATCTGTGTGCTCACCGTTGCTTCCAGTGAGGTCCGGGAGTTAGTAATAATGTAGTGTACCTGTTTGCCAGGCATTGGTCTAGGCACTTGATGGGAATTAATTTATGTAATCCTTGCACCAACCCCATGAAATTAATACTGATATTATTATCTCCGTTTCACAGATTAGGAAACTGAGGCACAGAGAAGCTAGACAACTTGCCCAAGTTTTCACAGCTAGTGAGTGACACAGCTGGGATGAACATAGGCTTAGGGCTTCTGATGTACTTTGTAAGACAATACTGGGTTTTTAAAAAGCCACAGTCCAAAGGCATGAACCACTAAAATTCATAATTGTGTATAGAAAATAATATTATCTATGTTTCTCTGACTAGTTAATTTGAACAGCTTTCATTACCTAAATGGACAGAAAAAATGTGCCTAGAAGAGAGATTATAGGCAAATATCAGCATTCGTGTGATATGCAAATAAATATATTTAAAATTCATGGATTTTGAAGAGAATTGGTTGGTTCATTTTAACATGCTTTTTCTGGGCTTTCTTGAAGATTCTATACCAGTAGCTCCATTGCATGGTAACCAGAAGGAGCATGGCTGGAGAATTTTGCCCTGAACTCCAAGTGAGAAGACATGGGGTTTAGTCCTGAGACACAGGGCCCGTGCAGGGCTGCTACCTTGTCCACATGAAAAAGAAGAAAAAATAACTAAAATGTTAATTTCAAGAACACAATTCAGCAAGGGATAAATGGGAGCAAAAGTGTAAAAAATAATTCACTATCCTAAATGAAGAAAAAAACTTAAGGAACTATGGAGATTGTTTCCACTTAAAATGCCCAAAAAAAAAAAAAAAAAAAAAAAATTCACAGTTAAAGTAACTCAGTGACTTAATCCAGGGTATCTAATAGAATCTCCAATGCTGTCTTTTTTTAAGGTTTTAGAAAAATAATCCTACTTTAGATATAAAAAGATACCACATGACAACACTCTAGGTCTAGTTGGGATATATAGCATAAATCCAGAAATATGCACTAATATTGAATGAATGAAGATACCAAGGGTTTTCCAGGGCTGTGACAAACACTTTGGCTTATATGCCTTTTCTGTATTTGACAAAAAATTATCTATTCATTAAAAACACTAAAAGCTTTGTCCCCTCCCTCCTCCCTCTCTGTCTTAGGTGAAGTTCTCTGGAAAAAGCCTCTGAGATGGAGATCTGTGTAGAAGAGGTTTCCTGGAAACGGTTTTTAGGAACATCACTCTCG